CAGGTTACGTATGTAACCCTAGTTCCTCGAGGGAACGAGACGCTGCGTCTCGGTGCCATACTTCCGGCGTCCCTGCCGGCACTTGCTTCATTCCTAGAAGCTGACGCTGGCTCCGCCGCACGTGCTTTTATAGCTTCCTGGTCATGACGTCATCCGCCGTGACATCCCGTTCAGCTATTGGACTGATTTCACATGTGATTCAGAGCGTGGGTTGCAGAAGGCGTTCCCCTAGCGTTTTCGACGCAGCGTCTCGTTCCCTCGAGGAACTAGGGTTACATACGTAACCTGAGACGTTTGTGTTGCTAATAGATAAAAGAAACTATTATCCATTATATATCTGATGTGGCTTAAATATAAAACCACCATTTGTCTTAGTCAACATTTGAGAAACCAGTATGTTGTTTGGTCCAAACATCATCTGGTCCAGATAAGGCTTCATCTATGAACAGGGCTCGACATTAATGCTTGTCCAGGACAAGTGGATTTTGTGAAGGGGCAAGTGAAAGACCCAAGTGAAGTTTTCTTGCCCGACCGGACAACAGTAACAACCAAACAACAGTAACACAATAACTAGGGCAGCACTGAAATTTTGGTGAGAATGATTCTGATTTTATTACTTTCAGTGTAAACGGTGACTGATGACGGATAATGTATTGACAATATCAAGGTTGCGTCAGTTGAGGCTCGTGCAGAAATCAAAACTAATAGATGCACCAACACACACAAAGTAACAAGCATACTGTGCGGTAGGGATAAAAAGATAAATATTCTATATAAGCATCATTACACGACCAAGCACCAGCACCATTGCAATTGCAAATGTGACATTGATTTTATACAACAGTAGCTCAATAAACAAGAAGTTAATATTAACTGTCTTACATTTTAGACACATTTTAGACCGTTTTTGCTAACGAAAATAGTTCTAAGCAAAGCCACAGCAGAACAGTCGCGCATCTCCAAGCAACACACAGAGGTGTTTCGTTACTGAATGATTCAGCATTTTTGAACAAATCGGGTGAGTCAATGATTCAGTGAGCCACTCATAAAGACAGTCACATGCTTTATTTATTGATTGAATCAACCGTTTAAACGAATTGGTTGAATCAGTGACTCGCTCATTAAGACAGTGACTTGCCGCCACCTACTGGTGGTTTCATATTTGAAAGTATCATTGCATTTTTCCTACATTTCAGATTTATGTTAAAAAAAGTAAAAGTGAAAAAAGTGAAAGTGACGTGACGTGGCCAATTATGGTGACCCATACTCGGAATTAGTGCTCTGCATTTATCCCATCCAAAGTGCACACACACAGCAGTGAACACACACACACACACCGTGAACACACACCCGGAGCAGTGCAAAGCATTGATCTTATAATATTAGTTATGCATTTGCAATTTTATTGTGTAAATGCATTTCTGGAACCTCTCATCTCATTAAACAGTCTGAGTAAATGCATCTAAATGGGACTTTTGATGCAGCTTCAGTGATTCCTCTGCAGTGGAAAGATGGAGTTTGTTGATACTGATTTCATTTGAATGGTAACAACCATGTAGAGTCTAATTATTCTAACTGAATGTATTGATACAATTTAAGAATTTGTTGTCAATGATGACATGTACATTTAGTAAGGTTAGGAATATATTGTCCCTCATAAAGTTAAAAAGTGTCCTAGAAATCAATTTAAGGCGAATATCACAAATATGCTGATTAAAGTAAGAGCTCATAGAGCAGTGATGAGACTATTGCTTCAGAATGGATTACATTTCTCACGCCAAACAACAACAACAAAAAAGGCTTTTTTTTGCCCCGGACAAGTAACTTTTTGTACTCGGACAAGTGAATGAATGATTTACTTAAGCACATGTCAAGGCTTAATGTCGAGCCCTGTATGAATGTCATCCTGCAAAAACCAGACCCAACCTTGACTTTAAATCTAATCCATCCTTGAGCAAGTGCTTCAGAGCAAAGCAACACAGAACAAAATGTGCTAAGCAAATGATTTTTGTTCATATCTGACCATGATTTATAATAGAAACCAAACACGCCAGCCAAAAGTAAGTTGTAGGTAAAGTAAGTT